TTCATTAAAATTAATAATTAAAAAAAATTTTAGGTTTTGTATTTGGTACTCTTGCATGAAAATGCAGAATTGTGCACTCAGCAGCCTGTATTCACTGGTTTTGTAAAGTGTGGATTAAAGGTACCACAGGACAGAGTACAGAGTTTGGAGTGACATGGACACTTCTGTCAGGATGTCATTGTCCTAGGGTGCCATGGAGAACTTATTAACTTTACAGTGAAGAAACTTGGTGTATGCTGTCATAACCAGTATGACATCCAATAATTGCTATTACCAGTAATGGAGCAAACAGCTACTGTATACCTCCTGATATATAATGGATGGAGAGAGAACAGCACAACTTCTGTGGTAGCCCTAACACAAATGCCTAAATCAGGACGGAATAGCAATAAAGATGCTCCAAACTGAGATGGTCTACAAAGTTACTGACATGTATGTACTCTTCAAAAATGTCATGGTTGTGATACACAAAGAAAGGCGAGGAAAAAATACTAGAGAAATGACAACTATATGAAAGGAATAACCCTAAACCGGATACTGGCTTTATAAAAGGTATTACTGGAGTAAGTAGTTAATTTTGAACAGTCTTATGAACTGGATGGTAATAAAAAAATTACACTTTAAAGCAGAGTGGTGTTCAAGTGTTCAGACTGTCTTCCTTAGCCACTGACTGACCTTGCCATGTGGACAAGGGGGAACATGAGAATAGGGCATGCTAGACTATCTGAAAGGGAACTGACAGTCTTGCCACTAAATTGAGTTGATCCAGCAGGAGAATGGGAGAACCTCACCACCTGCAAAGCAGTAGCAGCAGAATGCAATGGGTCGTTTGGGGCCAGAGATTCTTCGGCCAGCCAGACGAGAGCAGCCACAGCAGCTGCAGCAGAGACCTAGAGGCCTCACAAAAGACAGAGGAGACCTTGGGACTGACTCCATGGATCTAGGAGCATTTGTCCAAGTTTGTTGGACAATTGGGGCTGGGTGGGGTGGGGCGGAAAAACATAACTGGCAGGACTGAGAGCAGGAATCAAGGCAGAGGCACCTGCAATCACATTTTGGAAGCAGTCCTGACTGATTCTAACTTGCTGTCAACCTCAGTTGTAACCTTTTGACTTCCCCAATATGGTTCTGTGTGGTCTGTTAGCTATCGCATTGGATTCTGGACCCAACAGAGGAGTAACATCGGTGGTGGGATGAGTTGAAAAAGGTTCAAGAGCGTGGGGGACACATCTATTTCAGCTCATGGGAACTGGTTTTATGTTGCTGATGGTGACAGTTCCCATTGTGAAGGTGGTAACGGGCAGATACAGCCCATCTCCACGCAGCCCTTGCTCCCTTACAAGCAGAAGATACACTTCAAAAAAAGAAAACATTGAGATGGTCTCCAGGTTATGACTGTCCATCTTACCTATCAGACAACCTGCAGTTATGAACCAACCTCTATAAAGGCTATTACATAAAACATTCAGGGTACATGTTAACAGTGTGTAATAACTGGGCATGACTTAACAATATACATCAAAACATTATTATTACTGTATTATTAAGTATATGTCAATGTATCTGAAAGTGTTTAATATTTTTCATGCATAGAAATGTATAAAAAATATGAACACGTGACAGTGTGAACCATTTTTAACAGTTCTAATTTATGAACAGATGTGACTTAAAAGACAGTCTCAGGGACTGAACTCATTTGCAATCTAGGAACTGCTGGGTGCTGAATTACTGCTAATTTCCTGATTTAGATGAGGAGTTTGTTATGTAGGTGAGTGTCATGAGATTTGAGGAATACACACGGAAACATCAAGGGGTGATAGAGTACCATGTCTGAAACTTATTCTCAAATGGTTCAGAAAAGTTCATACTTGGAGGTCCTGGATAAGGAGCTCAAAGTAAAACATACGTGTAATTCAGACGCATTTCCAGGATAAATCTGTAAGAGGTCACGATCTCCTAGATTCCACAGAGTTTCTATTGACTCCTTTCCCCACGGAAAACTGTAGTAAAGTTGGTTTCCTTTTCGTCCGTCTTCATCCTGACACTCACTGCTGCTGAAGTTAGATGGCCTTACTGCAAACTGGAAAAGAAAAGCTTAATTTGTCTTGTTAACTTACTGAAATAAATGCTTGTTTACCTCTAACTCTCTGTAAAAATTATCTACTTGTCTCTAAGAATTAAAATCACTCAAGACTATTTATGCAGCAACTGACTGAAACTAATCAAGTCCCAAATAGAAACTGTGAAATGTAAATTCAAGTAATCATACTGTTAAAAATAGTACATAGTACTTTCAGTCTGAAATAGCCACAGAGAAGAACTGTTGATGCTCTCAGCAGCTTTTGTGTGGTCAACCGACAAGAGGCGAATGTAAGAATAAACTGGGTAGGAAGAAGCACAAAGTATCACATACACACATTTTTTCCTCTTCTCTGGAGCAGGTGAGTATTTCTAATTATCCCATTTGGTTTAGGTAGGGATTTTCTAAGAAATGAGTTCTCAACTAACTCCAACTCTTCTCAGCAAAATTAAAAAGCTTACTTATAAAATATGGAATGATAAAGAGTTTAAAAGAGTAAAAAATTATTTAGGGTAGGGCTTTTTTTTTTTAAAAAAAACCTCTTTGTTTACAGCTTAATCTTCTAGAAGTCCCTAAAGTTCTATAGTTAATATTCTGATATGTTGCTGCTGTTATGTGCCATCGAGTCACCTGCGACTCACAGTACAATAGCTTTGAACCCTGCCTAGTCTCAGCCAAACTCATCATCTCCGACACACCTAATTCCATTTCTCCAGTCACTGAATGAATCCATCTCATCCAAGGTCTTCCTCTCCTGCACTGTCCCTACATCCTTCTAAGCACGATGTCCTTCTCCAAGGACTGGTACCTCCTGGCCATGTGCCCAAGGTATGTGAGACACAGCCTCAAAATCCTTGCCTCCAGAGAGCAGCCTGGTTTCATCCTCTCCAAGACAGACTTATTTGTTCTCCCGACAGTCCATGGTATGTTCAACACTCTTCTTCAGCACCACAACTTTAAAGCATCAATTCTTCTGTCATCCTTAGTCTTTGTCCAGCTCTCTGATGCACAGCAAGTAACTGCAAAGTCCATGGCCTGTATCAGGCACACTTTAGTCTCCAGACTGACACCACTGTTCTTCAGAGGTCCCTGAAAACAGGTATTCCCAATGCAATTTGCCTTTGATTTCCTGACTGTTGGTGCCAAGAGTGCTGATTGTGGAACCAAGCCAGCTGAAGTTGTTAACAATATTGATCTGGGTCTATCACAAAGCTGCCATCTGGCCATGTGGTAAAAATCTATGTTTTCTTGATGTTGAGCTTCAATCCACATTGAAGACTATAGTCCTTGACCTTCTGCAGCAAATGCCTCATGTCCTTCTCAGTTTTAGCAAGCAAGGTTGTGTCATCTGCATAACTCTGGTTAATGAGTCCTCCTCCGATCCTGATACCACATTCCTCCTCATAGAGTTCAGCCACCTGGATGAATATAGATTGAAGAGGCATGGAGATCACACCTTTCCTGATCCTGCATCATGCAGTATTTCCCAGCTCTGTTCTGACTACTGCTTCATAATTGAAGTATAACTTTCACATGAGCACAATCAAGTCTTCTGGGATTCCCATTCCCTTCAAGGTTAGCGATAATTTGTTGTGATCCACACAGTCAAATGCCTTTGCACAGTCAATGAAATACAGATACACATTCCTCTGGTACTCTCTGCTTTTGGCCAAGATCCATCTAATGTTGGCTATGATGTCCCGAGTGTCAGCCTCTTCTAAACCAAGCTTGCACATCTGGCAGCTGTCTGTTAATGTACTATTCTAGTTATTTTTGGATAATCTTCAGCAGGATCTTGATTGCGTGTGGTAATAGTGATATTGTTTGATAATTTCCACACTCTGTCAGGTCACCCTTTTTTGGAATGGGAATTAATATAGATCTCTTCCTGTAAGCTGCCCAGGTAGTTGTCCCCCAGATCTCTTGGTAAAACCTGGTAAGTGTGGACAGGGCAGCATCTGTTTGTTGAAATATGTCAATTGGTATGCCATCAATTCCTGGGGCCTTGCTTTTTGCCAATTTCCTCTTAGCAGCTTGAACTTTCTCCTTCCGCACCATAAGCTCTTGATCATATATTGCTTCGTGAAATTCTTATGTGTCAGCCAATTCTTTCTGGTATAGTGACTCTGTGTACTCCTTCCGTCTTTTGATGCTTCCTGGGTCATTCAACATTCTGCCCACAGCATACTTAAGTATTGCAATTCAAGGTTTAAATTTGTTCTTCAATTTCTTTTTTTTTTTTTTAATTTTTATTTTATTCGTGTGTGTGTGTGTGTGTGTGTGTGTGTACCGTCAAATCGGATCTGACTGGTACAGGAGGAGATTGTCCCTCCTTTTCCCGGCAGAGCATCTGGTGGATTTGAACCGTGCACCTCTGGGATTGCAGTGCAGTTTCTTGCCACTAGGCCACCAGAGCTCCCCTTGTTCTTCAATTTCTTCAGCTTAAAAAATGCTGAGTTTGTCCCTTTTGATTTTCTGACTTCAGCTCCTTGTACATTTCATTATAATACTTTGTCTTCTCAAACTGCTCTGAAATAAAGCATTAAGTTTTTCATCATGCAGAGCTATTCAAGGTAATGAATTACTTAAATTAAAAAAAAAAGCTTAGCATCTTTGGGAGCTTTGGTGGCCTAGTCTGTAAGGACTTGTACAGTCAACTGAAAAACGGGCTGTTCAAATGCATCAGTGACTCCACAGGAAAATGACAGCTAATCTCTGCCTTCATGATTTACAGCCTCTGAAAATCTGCTAGATGGTCAGTTATGAGTTCTGACTTAACGGCAGTGGGTTCCTTTCAGTTTCATTTTTTTTTCAGTTTCATTTAATACAGTTAAGATATTGCCCTACATACAAGGTATGCAGATACAAAGTACTTAAAAAGCTTCCTGGGACACAAAGTACTTATAAAGCTTCAGTGTTCTTCACTGGTTATTTATCTGAGTGCTTCCTTTTAGTATCCTCTCTTTGCAGATGGGGAAAATTGAAGCACAGAAGGTATACTCAAGGTTCCTAAGGTCACACAGCTGGAATTTAAAACAAAAAATCCTCTGGCTCTCAACTACTTCACTAGACTGCTTTCATGTGGTTTTTCATTTACTTAGGTAGGTAAAAGAAGAGTATACTAGTAAAACAGCAACTCAAGCTAACAACAGAAATTAGAGCTCATTTTAGGTTTAAACATCAGAGACAGAGCAGGGATAGGAAGTACAGGTAAGGTTTCAGATTAGGGAGAGTTTAGTTACAATTCAGATGGAGGGGGAATTATGTGGAGAATATAGGATTTGACAAGAATTTGAAAGATGAAGGGTTTGGAAAGAAGACATGTCAGACAAGGAGTTAAAGTGAGGTAAAAGTGGGAAATGGATAAAATACCAAAACTGAGTATTAGTAATAAAAATTTGAAGAACTACTAACTTCTTGAGTTCTCACTATACTCCTGACATTAGTTCAAAATGATGCTGACCAAAATGGGGAGTTTATAGCAGTAGGTAGCGAAAGCTAGAACTGTAAGGAAAAAGTCAACAAGGCTCAAACCAGCCAGGAATGCTGGGTGTGGAGTTTGAACTTTACCTTGGTCATAAAGGCTTATCAACAAACACTTCTAAGCATGACAGAAAGAAGGCAACTACCAAACTAACTGAAGTCTTACCAAACTCACTCAGTTCTCTGGAGCAAGAATCATTCAAAGGGTTTTTATTTATGTTTGACTTATTGTAGCTGCTGCTTACAATTAACTACAGTGAATAATTTTAATCTGTTATATAGGGTAGTATCCCTTCTACACAGAAACCATTTACCTAGTAATTACGGAAAGGTACCTTTCTCCACCACAGCAGTCGATGACGTAACCAGAAATCAAGCCACTGGCTCGCTGTTCTCGCTGAAGTAAACCACACCAAGGAGGCTTCAGTCTTCTCGCCAATTCTTTAGATAGGAGACATTGCAGAAAGTTAATGACTTTGAAGATTACATTATTTGCCCCAAAGTGCTCAAAGGTTTGATTATTTCAATGGAAGGCCAAGTTACTTGCCATTCTTTTGTACCTTTGAATGCCATCTGGTTTACTACCGCACACAGGATGAAAGCACACTCCAATCTGAGCAAGGCCATACGGGAGCCTCCTATTTACCAAATCCAGGCAATTAACATAGTGCTCCAGAGCACCTGCCAAAAGAGCAATCAAATCATCTATCCCATACATTCCAATAATTTCTGTCAAATTATAAACACCTTAGTCTTATAACAGCCATACAAGTAGCATGTGGCTCCTAAGGTAGATCTGTTTTTCTTTTTCTGCATACTGTCAAGTCAGATCTGAATGGCATGTGAGACTGCCCTCCTTCTCCAGTGGAGCATCTGGTGGATTCGAACCATGCATCTTCGGGACTACAGTGCAGCTTTTGCCACTAGGCCACCACAGCACCAATTAAGGTAGGTCTTAAAACCTTAAGGGAGCTCTGAAGGCCTGTTGGATAGAGTTGCGCTGACAACCCCAAATCATGTGGTTTGAATCCACCAGTTGCTCCTTAGGGGAGAGCTGGCAATCTCCTCCTGTGTGATTTACAACACCTGAAATCCACTCGAGGGCCAGCTATGGACTCCTTGGTAACTCGGCATTTCATTAGCCGAGTACCACTTAATTAGGTAGCTTTCAATGAACATTTTGAAGATTTTCCACTAAAAGTTGAAAGACAGCAAACACATAACCTCCACTTAGATTTACCAATTGTCAACATTTTGCCACATTTTTTTTCATCCCAAAGTACTGTAGCACATTATCTTCTAAAATTATTTTAGAATATTTTTAATATTTAGAACTACATCATGAAAATAAAAGATAATGCTGTATCGTAACACTGTTAGTATTCTGTTTTCTACAACTATCACCCAAACTGTCATTTCTTTTTCTCCATAAGCAATGATCCATCCAATTAAAGTTTATACACTTCACTAGGTCTCACTCACCCTTTTTTTTAAAAAAAAAAATCTTAGTCTAGACCATTTCTCCTGACCCTTCTCCAACCAATTTAATAAATTACTGAGATTAATTCAGACTAATCAAAGAATGGAAGCAGGAGTGGCATCCACTTCCGTTAATAGCTTGCTTCTGGAAACCCTATGAACCTGGAGAGAGGATGAAAGGCACCCAAGCATCGAGGACTCTCCTTCATTGGGTCGCTATGAGTCGCCTGCGACTCGACGGCACTTAACAACAACAACAATCAAAGAATATCCGACATCCAGTATTTACTAATAATTTCCTTCTTACAGTTTCATTTTGGCTAATCACTTTTGGCAAGAATATATCTGACGTGTTTGTCTACATATTTCACCATTCTAGGAGGGACAGAATACCACATTTTCCCACAATTGAGGAAACCAAATATGATTATTTGGTTAAGGCAGTGTCTATCTACTTCCCAACAATCTTTCACCTAAAGTTTTAGAATGTTCTAATAATCTTTGAGTCAATTTTTACACAAGGAATCACAAAAGGCTAATGTTTCTCTTCCTCTTTTACATTTATTGCATAGTCGTCGTGGTATGCTGTAGAATCGGAATCAATCCACAGCTGACCCTCTAGCGAGTTTTCAGAGGCAGTAAATCACATGGAAGGAGACTGTCCAGCCTTCTGTGGAGCAACTGGTAGATTTGAACTGTATCCCTTTGGAGTGCAGCGCAGTTTCTTACCACTAGGCCACCAAAGCTGCCTACATTTACTGTGTAGCTTCTACAAAAACTTAAGCATTCTCTACCTCCTATTCTTTTTATTAACAGTATCTATGGACTGATTCATTTTATTGAATGTTGTAGAATAATCCAATTTCACTTACCTCAATTTAATGTGAAAAAAATAAGTGAAAAAAGTCTAAATTACCTTAAAATCAGGTAAAGACCCATGTGTTTTGAGGTAGAGTAGCTCTCTCCGGAGTCCAAATCCTTGATCTCTTACCCTACTCCTCCCTCCAGTCTTGGATGCAAACAAAGTTTAAAAAAATAATAATAATGTCAGACGCCCTATGCTGTAGCCTTGTTTAGGGGTTTGTGGGAAGGCAGCAGTTAGGATGGAAAGTGATCACTTTACCACAAACTCAAAGATTCCTTATTTACACACTGGGGGTGCTGAGGCCAATTGGGTGGGGTAGAGTGGGTATCCTCGCTAGAAATCCTATCAGTTCTGTCTGTGGTTTGAAAGAACACAAACGGCTCAGACACAGGGGAGGCAACAGCTCCAGGCAGAGATGTCCCACAAGGCAACTTGGAGACCAAGATCCATTGTGTTGCTGAAGTTTCACATGATGTCAATTTTCATGTGTTAGCCTGGTCTACCAAACAGGTGAGTGCTGTTTACATATTTGTTTTAACGTTCAACTTGTTTTTACCCAGTGAGACCCCCTTCAAGCCAGCTCCTGTGTCTCCTTGATGTGACCATACTAATACTCTTTTTTATTTTTCTTGCTGTTTCTTGTAATGTTTTTATGTACTTAGGATAAAAACTCAGGGCTCACAGTGACCTTCGTCATGCTCCTGAAGCTGTGAATCTTTATGTGCCGAGAAAGCCCATCTTTCTCCTTCGGAAGAGCTGGTGGAGTTGAACCACTGACCTTTTGGTTAACAGCATTACACATATGCCCCATACCACCAGAGCTCTTTGCACTGAGTAACAAACAATACAGCCCTTCCTCACATTACCAGTGAGTTCTGATCCTACATCTGTCTTTAAATTGGATTTGTACCTAAATTGAACTGGTTGTAGCTAATGTTATCCAAATATCTGTCTCAGTAAACAGTGTACCTTTCTTTGTATGCATGCAATTGGTAAGAATCAAAGAAACACTTCCAGATGTTCTCAATCATCTTTAACATAATACCATAAAACTGTGTTCATACACTGAAAAATAGCATTCATTTGTTCATTGTGTTCATTTGTTATTGTGAACCACTTCATGTACTTGGAACTTTATTACAACAGGCTTTAAAGGGTTTGGTTCGGCGAGCTCTGGTGGCCTAATGGCAAGAGGCTGCATTGCAATCCCAGAGATGCACAGTTCAAATCCACCAGACGCTCTGCTGAAGAAGGAGGAACAATCACCTCCTATACCAGTCAGATTCGATTTGATGGTATACACACACACACACACACACACACACACACACACACACAAAGGGTTTGGTTCATAACTAATGACTGTATATTAATTAGATCTTCTAACCAGAGGACTTATGTATTGAGTTCGAGTTACTGGATTTAAGATTTCTACTTCTCTTAAAAAAAAATTCTCACAGCTGGACAAACAGACAACATCATGATAGATGGAGAAAGACTGAAGTTACCAAGGATTTAATTTTACTTGGATCCATAATCCAGCATCCAGAGTGGTAGCAGTCAGATCAAAAGATGTGTTTGCACTGGAAAAATCAGTTGTCAAGAACCTCTTCAAAGTGCTGAAGAGCAGGATGTCCGTTTCAGGACCGAAGTACATGTGGTCTAAGTCATGTTTTTTCCAGTTACTTCCTCTGCATCTGAAAGCTGGACAATGAGTAAAGATGACTGAAGACGAGTCAAAGTTTTTGAACTGCTGGGCTGGTGAATAATACCGAATATCTCACGGACTGCCAAAAAGCACAAACACGTCTGTCTTAGAAGAAGGGCAACCAAGCTGGCTCCTTAGAGACAAGGATAGGGCAACTTTTCTCACGTAGAGGATGTTGTCAGGAGGGGCTAGTACTTGGGAAAGGACATCAAAAGATGGAAGATCAGATAAAAAGAGGAAGATCTTCACCAAGATGGAACGATACAGTGATTTTAACTATGGGCTTAAGCATGTCAGAGATTGTGAGAAAGACACATGATATTCACAGGCTGCTATGAGCTGTAGCTGCAATCACTCTATGGCAGTCCGGTAAGCAGACTAAAACTTGTCAACAGCAATAATAAAAGTTGGTTTTTATCATTTCCTTCACCTGCTCCCCCCACCGACCAAACTGTGCAGCTCTGCAACTGCATCCTGGACCATCCTCACCCTTCTGCCCCCAACCCTCACCTCCTTATACCAATATGTTTTTCCCAATAAAAAAAAATATTAAAAAAAAACAAACCAAAAAAGTTGGTTTTTAAAAAAAGTATCTGTATAAGAGCTACCAAGACAGAAAAGACTTGAAGGTCCAAGATGTGGCAAGAAGGGATCAAACATGAGAACCACAATCTAGTGCTGCTTTTCCAATTCTCCTATCAGAGTTGAGAGGCTGAAATACTGAACAACATAATTTGTGGTCCACCACAGATGGGCCCTGGTAAACATTAGACTTCCCAGGAAAAAAACACAAAAGAACTGAAACTCAAAGCCTTCAAGCCTACACAGGGTTTCCATCTTTATGTAAAAAGACTACACACCTTTCTTCCCAAAGAGGTGATAGTGGATTTGAATTTCAGAGTCTCAAAGTCTTTGAGTCAAAGCACAACTTGCTGTGGACTGACTACTGGCTAAAGTGATTAAGGCTTCAATCACCTCAACCCGACTGTATTAAAAAGATTTATCTCCATTAGCTGCCTTAGAAAGCAAAACCCTCCTAGGAACAAGAAAACACCATCTAGAGCCTCAACTTATCGCTTCAATTTTTCATTCACAATTACCTAGATAATCAATAAAATGTCTAAGCAACGACCAGTCCAGATGAAAATATACATTATTAGGTGCTATTTTGAATCAAGATCTGACTCTTGCCCTATTCGGTGCCATCCTCAAGCCCACTGTTAGTCACTGTGTCCATCTGGTTGAGCGTCTTCCTCTTTGCGTCTCCACCTTTCCAAGCATGTCACCTTTTCCCAAGGAATGGCCCATCCTAAGAACATGCCCAAAGTATGCCCCGAGTAAAATACAGAGTAGAAATGTTTTTGGTTCATGTACCATCGAACTGGAATCGACCCATAGCTGACCCTCTAGCAGGTTTTCAGAAACAGTGAATTGGAAAGGAGAATGTTCATCTTTCTCTCAAAGAGCAGATGGCAGATTCGAACCAAATACCTTGGCACTAGCAGCAGAACTTCTTATCACTGAGCCACCAGAGCTCCCTACAGTAGAAAGAAATATTGTTAAATCCGTTGGCATGTATTTTAAAATGTGATGTGCTCTGGGGTCGTGGCTTAGTGATTAAGTATGTAAAGGTACATGGTTCAAATCCACCAGCGGTTCTGCAAGAGAAAAATGGGCAGTCTCCTCCTGTGCAGTTTACTGCCTCTGAAAACCCACTGGAAGGTCAGCTATGGGTCAGTTTTAACTCAGTGGAAAACAACAACGACAAACTTAGAAGATGGAGAAATGGCCTAACATAAGTAGCAACAAAATGGCTCAGAATTTCTTTTGAAAAGAAAAAATGTGAGGAAGCTCTGGTGGCCTTGTGTCAAGAAACTGCACTGCAATTCCAAAGGTCCACGGTTTGAATCCACCAGATGCTCAGCCGGAAAAGACAGATAATTTCCCCCTGTGCCAGTAGATCTGACTCGAGGGTACACAAGGAAAAACAAAACAAAACACAAAATTCAAAAGCCCAAACATCAAACTCTTAAGTAAAGGATATTAACAGTTCAAAGAGGAAATAGAGCAAGAATCTAGTGAACAAGGCAATTTTAAGGGGGGAAAACCCTAGATAAGCAAAGCATTTGGCATATAATTTGTCTCCTGAAGGCAAAGAAATGCTTGGCACATCAGCAGATGCTTTCCCAAGTCCTCCCAGCTGGGAAGATGGTGTTATCACTTAATAGACAAGAAAGGGGAAGGGGGAAAGGCAACGAGAAAGAAGTCTTCACATTTCTGCTGGAGATCAAGACAGGTTCACATGCTCAAAATCCCTAGCCCTAAGAGAGATGCAAATTAAAACAACTATGAGATATCATCTCACCCCAGTCAAAATAGTAAAATTTAACAGAACAGCAAGCAACAAATGCTGGCGAGGTTGTGGAGAAACTGGAACCCTGATTCACTGTGGGTGGGAGTATAAAATGGTGCAACCCCTGTGGAAAGCAGTATGGCGCTTTCTCAAAAAGTTGCAAATAGAGATACCATTTGACCCAGCAATTCCACTACTGGGAATATACCCTGAAGAGACCATAGCTGACATCCAAGCAGATATATGCACACCCATGTTTATTGCAGCTTTGTTCACAATAGCAAGGAGTTGGAAACAACCTAAGTGCCCATCAACAAACGAATGGCTAGAGAAGCTGTGGTATATTCGCACAATGGAATACTATGCTGCATTAAAAAACAAGGAACTCATGCAATATTATTCAAAATGGTTGACTCTGGAGAACATTATGCTGAGTGAAATATCCCAGTCACAAAAGGACAAATATTACACGATGCCACTGTTGTAGAATGGGACTGCCCTTGGGGTTGGGGAGAGACTGAGTAAGATGGGTTCAATAATGTATACTGCACTGAAACAGAGGAGGGAGAAATCTGTTTAAAAGAGAGATATAACTGGGTATTTCTGTCATCACAGGAGTCTACAGCGAGGGGTCCATGGTGGAGGGGACCTGGGGGAGGGTTTGTAAAACAATGAAAGAATCTTTTCTTTTCCATAATTTTTGACTCATGTACTTATAACTTGTTAGTCAAATTTGTGTCTTTTAGGTTGCAGCACCCCCATGATACATCTTCAAGGATATGAACATGTACGGCCAAGCACAATCAATAAGAGTGCATCTAAATTCCAAAATCAATCTCCATAATAGTCTATGTGTTTCCTACTGCCAAAGGGGCCCTTTAGAGTAGTGAGAGAAGACCTTCACCCTGAAACCCACAGCGTCCCTTTTCAGCAGGAAGTAGCTAAGAGAATACGCCATCCCCTTTTCCTTATGACTCAGGGTGAAGTCTCTCTCAGGGAGGAGTGCTAGGGAATGGCAAAGGACACACCGACAAAGGAGATTAATCAGAACTGACTTTGACAAGCACTGTGGCAATTGGACAATTAAAACAGACATTCGGATGGCGGGGAAGAAGAACAAACTGGGGAGGAGGGTGGAGAGAATGGTGCGGCAATGAAGGAGTGAAAGCCCAGAATCCCTGTGAATGTTCATTGAAACTAATAAAATTTAATTTAAAAAAAAAAAAAGACAGGTTCACAGGGTTTCCAGAGGCAAGCTATTATGGAAGTGGATGCCACTCCTCCTTCCAAGTTTAACTGGGGAGCTCCACCCCACTCTCTGTCCACATTGGGTAACCAGCCATTAATGCATTTGACACATCAATGTCACAGTGTTCAGCCTCACAGCAACTATACGACCTAGAGGATGTCTGAACAAAAACAATGAAAGACAGGCCCCAGGGCCGCAAATTAAAAGTCACCCACCCTCGGCTTGGTAGCATTGCTTTCTGTCCGCTCAAGACAGTGTTATTGTTAAGTGCTGTCGACCCTATGAAGCAGAGTCCTCAACACTTGTATGTCTCTCATTCTCTCCCCAGGTTCATAGGGTTTCCGGAGGCAAGCTATTATGGAAGTGGATGCCACTCCTCCTTTCAAGCTTGTTTTTATCGGGGGGCTCCAGTAGGCTGAGTTAAACTCCCCAAGTTAAGCCGTCATAGAATTATTATAGATTCAGTGACTGGTGTAATCTGGATGGGAGTGTCGGAGACAGTGAGATTGGCACAGGACAGAGTTTAGGGCTGTTGTACTTAGGGTCGCTATGAGTCACAAGCGACTTGCCGGCACATAACAACAACAAAAGTGTCACCTTTGTTCCTAAGTTTGTTTTTGTCTGCTTTATTCCATTAAGGGAACCTTAAGAAGGTGCTATTTCTCACAGGACCATGGGCATCAGATAATTTACCTGAAACAACTTCATAGTATCACTTGGGAGAAATGGGCAGGGACAATGTTTTGCAAATATGAGAAGATATGACAGCAAGCTTGAATTTTTTCCTGCTTCAGACTTAAAAGGCAAGTTGTCTTCTACAAATCCCTAAATGTTCATTTCATTTTTCATTTAAGAACGGCCAGCCCAGCTTATTTAACCCTGTTATTTTGCTAACTCAAAAGCATCTTCCAACAGGCGGTATTACCAATAAGCAAATGGGGGGAAAGAGGGCTTGTGTTGATGACCCAGAACACACGGATTGGCCAATTTCGTGTAAAGGTGTAGTTATCGCGGTGGTGAAAGTTTTGCTTAACGACAAATGGTTCAAATACACGATCTGATTTCGGTTGTAAGTTGGGCAGTGGAATCCTCAAATTCCAGGGCTGCCCAGTGAAATCGGAACGCCCACCAGGTGGTTCAGCCGAGACCCTCGGTGGGACAGCAACGACGCCCGGGACTTTGCTGGGCAGATGCATTACCACCATCCCCGACCCCTCGGAAAAGATGCGGTCCCGACAGCTTCCTTTGCAGGTGAAAGGCCGGCCAGGTGCAATCCCCCACGTGGAGCGGGCTCGCATTTTCCACCCCCGACACCGATCTCGAAGCAGGAAGTCGTGAGGCATACCGTGAAGAAGGCTCTCCCGTGGTTTCCCAGAAGTTTTTAATACGTTCTCAAGAAACGCTACAAGCTGTTCCTTACTCAGCTCTTTGTCTTGCACGATTTGACGTAGAGCGTCTGCGGAAACTAACCTGAAGGCACTGTCCGCCGGCCGCGCGGGGCCGGGCCGGTGGTGGAGGGCGTCCACCGGGAACACCTGCTCCCGGAACACCACCACCGAGGACCACCACTCTGCGGCCAGGTTCTTCCGCAACTCGACGCCCAAGGGTCCAAAGCCGGGGTGGCAGCCGCTCAAAAGAGAATCTCGGCTGAGCTGGCGCTCACTGCCGCAGAGGAAATGCCTTCTCCGGCAGATCTCGAGAAGCACCTCGCTCCCCTCGCCGGCCTCGGGGGCTTCTCTCGGCTCGCTGCCCCGGGGGAGCTCCGCGAACCCCCGCAGCAGTCTTCCGAGGGACCGGCTCCTGCCCGCCAAGCGCTGCAGCAGCCTCCCATTTACCCGACCCTCAAAGCCAGAGAAGAGCGACCTGCAGCTTTGGCCACAGGCCCGGACCGCTGCCCCGCAGCGCATTTCCGGTTGGAATTTAGTTCTGCCCCACAACCAACTCGTGGGGTCCCTGAAACTTGAACAGCCGAAAAATACTCGGTGAGCCGACTGCGCAGGCACGACGGAAACCGGCGGGCTGTCCCGCCGACGGAAGTACGTCATCGCGCACCGAGCCCTGCGACTACCCGGATGTCAACCTCCCCTGCTGTGCTAAACAGGGCGCCGTAGGCCTCCGTTTGTCTGATCAACTGCTACTTGTTAGTGCAAGTCAGGCCTTTCCGATCTCTCGTCCACGTCAAGTGGTCTTTCCGTCCATTCTTTACGACCGTTCTGGAGCCACTTGGTGCAGCTTCACGGTTCCCTTTCAGGGTCATTGCATACGGGGCATCAAGTTTTGCTGCCTGGGGTCAATTCTACTCCTGGCGCGCGCTAACATGACTTGGCATGCAACCTCTTGGTAATCCTTAAGTGCCCTAGTAGGGAGCAGATCTTATCTGTCCTGGCGCATCCTCACAATCTGACATTGAGTCCACTGCTAGTCTTACAGCCACTATTTTGAGTGCTTTTCACTTACTTTGATGAGATTAAGAGCTTTGGTAAGGGCATTTCTTCCTAGCTTTAGTCTGCAAGCACTGATGTTTGTGCGTTGTTGGATTACCTCGTGGATATATTAAATACTGGTAGCACAGGTAGTAGCACCTTAACATGCCAGCTACCTAGGTACATGACACTGCACCAAAACATGCCGTTTCCAACTGTCTTGTCATGCATGCGCTATCCAGTTGTAACTCACCCTATACCTGTCCCTCCATATTTTCAGAGGTAGGTTGCCCATCCTTCTCCCACAGAGCATCTGGTGTTTTTGAACAGCGTGCTTTTGGGATTGCAACTCAACCAGTAGGCCACCAAAATCTCCCTTTTCAATCATAAAATGTTCACAAAAATTTAAAATCCTGTATCCTCATAGGTCGTGTAACCCTGGTATGTACACCTGCTGTACAGAACTTGTGGTCACTGTGAAGCTGAATCCGGTTACCCATGGTGGACAGCGTTTGGTCAAAATACCTTGGGGGGATGGGGGGAAGCTTGGAAGCAGGAGTGGCATCCACTTCTGAAATAGCTTGGATGAAAGTTCTACACAAGTGTCCAGGACTTTTTTATAGGGTCACTATGAGTCGCCTGCGATTGGATGGCACTTCACCACCAGCCTCACACTGAGCAAGTGGAGATTCATCAACCTGCCCTTGTGCAGGTTAACAAACTTGGAAGGTAGACTTATAAGGCTCACTGCAAGGGACCAAATAAATGCAGGCTTCAATGTGTTGCATATACAAAGGCAGAGGACTCATCAGTTTGGAGACTAAGGTGCACCTGATCCAAGCCTCAGCTTATTCAGTTATTGGCCACGTGGCCCCAAGTTTAATATTTTTTTTTCCAAGTTTAATATATATGAATTCTTAATAGTGCTGCTCCAGGATTCTCCTTGGGAGTAAAGAGAAACTTCACCTCACTCAGAAGAGCCAGACCTTGGAAAGGCAGCCAATAAGCGTAAGAGGAAAACCCTCGAGATTGATAAATGCAGTAACAATGGCCTAAAGTTTCAAAGATGACACAGGATGTAACAGGGCTCCGATCGAGGTCACAATGAGTTGCAGAACAGTAAATTAATCTTAACTTCCAAGGGGAAAACAAGGCTTTGGGCCCAGAGAAAACAAGTCATTAAATACTGCAGAGTCTCATTGGGCAATGCTAAACCAGCATTATGTTCACTGGGGGATAGTTTTGATAAACTTCTCTAAGAGGCCTAGCCTTGCTTACTCAAACCCTCCAAGGAGTTGCAGATTTGACAGGACATGGGCAAAACTTAAAAGCCACCATAAGTGGGAAGTTCTGGTAGGATTTTGTTATGTATGCTGAATTAGAATCACTTCATAGCTGATGCTCCAATAGGTTTTCGGGGGAAGCAAAAGAACACAGGAACAAAGTCCTCATTTTTGCCTTGTGAACGCAAATCACCTGCCTTCAGGTTGGCAGCATGACTTACCACTATGGATGGTGGTACAGAAATTTAAATCCAATGGCTCTGTAGAGAAATGGGCAGTTTCTTCCCACTAGGATTTAAATCTTCAGAAAGCCAATGGAGCTCACACAATCAAGAACAACTTGATTGCTTCTGAAAACCTACTGGGGCTAGCTATGAGTTGGTACCAAAGAGGATTAACTGGCAGGCTCATCCCATACACAACCTGCATTTTAACTTCAGAGACCCAAAGTCAAAAACTATTCGGGGAAAGGACAAAATCCATGAATGCTTTTAGGTGCTTACGGAAACCATGTGAAAGCAAAACTACTGGACACATCCCTGACTTCCAAGTGGGCGGGTTCATGAAAACATGAGTGGCAATTTGGTGCACTGTGTGTAGGCATGGAGGTGGTGAGCAAGGGACACCAAAACAGTACTGCTGGGAAGCAGTTTTATTAACTGCAAACCTCAACACTTAACAGGGTCAATTTCCCCATTCAAATCCACGGATGTCTGTATGCAATGGGAAATAAAAAAAGATAAAATGGGGAGAGAAATCACATTTATTAGTTAAAAGACAACCACAGGCTGGACAAAACACACATGCTAAAAAAGTAGACGGTCTTTTAAAACTTTGATAGCTAAATGTTTTCCATACCCCCACAATCATTTAATTGCTCACAATTTAAAAGGCCCAGGTAAAACATTAAACAGTAAAATGTGATAAATGCTCTAATGTACCCTGAATGCTTTGTAATTCATGATTATTTTGACCTTGACTCTCAAAACCTGTCACAAGGCTGAAACCAGTTTCTGATGTATTTGTTCTAGAATACTCCCAACTCACATTATTTTCTATCTTAAGACACAAAACAAATACTAACCAAAGCCCAGGTTAATTATCACAATTCAAAAATAAACCCAAAACAAACCACCCAAACACAAAACATACCCCTGGCAGCTTCCTGAAGACCACTTCTGGAAAAGCACACACCAGAGAGTCTAGAATTTAGATCTACTCTACAGACTTAACTACTGAAAACGGATTAGAAAATTTGATTAGCATGTTAACCCTAAGCTATCCCCTGGACCTTTCCAGCAATAAACCCACTCTGAGCCAATCATGATTTATTTTATAGTCACTGTGCCTCCTGATGAAACATTAATTGGAGTGAGGTTTTTCCTTGGGTTGATGTGACTCAATAGTAGTGCCATTTAAGAGCCTGAGGAAGCTAGTTGAAGCCTACCATTCTACGTATAAACTACATGAAGGACATAAATCCAGTTGGAAAAATAGGTCCAAACTGTTCCCTTTCAGTTTTGGTTAATATTTTGTCAATTCACAAAGCACTTTTTTCCTGAAAAAGCAAGTTATTTGAAGAATCTGAGTTTGAGGGCAGACCTGTACAAGAGATTTCTTCCCTTCTATTTCACTATTTAACCACTCTGTAAGGAAAATAAGTTAAATGACACCCAATGACTGTATGCAATCTAGGCTGCTAAAAGAAAAATTTTTCAGCATTAATCCCATTTAAATCCTTGCAATATGAATACCTTCTTGTAGAAAGTTTCTTCCCTCTACCTCTCAGAGAAGAAAAAAAAAGCTTCACTTTTGGATTAAAAAAGGGCTAAATTTCAACATGACATTACATATATGTAAAATAAAGTACAATTTCCACTTAATTCAGTCTTCAAATATTTTTTATTGGAAGGCCATGCATTGCCTTCATTTACTGTATTTCAAATCACTGTACATTTAACGTTTTTTTGTGAAAACACTGCCTGCATTTTCTAGTACAAAAAAAACCTAAAAATTGTTTCAGGAATGTAGAGAAATATCCAACTTAAATAGCGAAAAAGTGCACCATAATTACTGCTGCACTGCAGTCATTTCTGCATTTTCCATGTTTCTTAAATAACTATCTTGTTTGATAACACACAATATAAAGAGCAATTATGAAAAACAGACATTTACATATACCTCTAAAGTCTTATTGAGAGTATCCTGTTGGCATTGGATAACCAATCATGGGTGCAGCTGCAGTAGCAGGATATGCATATGCCGCCTGTTGGTTTATGCCATTGTGCATATTTGGAACATTAGTTCCATATTGCTGAGTGCCATCATAACCATTCTGGTAAGTCCCTGTTGGGTTACCAGTCCTAAAACTGGTCTGTAGACCAGCAGACACAAAATTACTTCCAAAGCTCCCATTGGTGTAATTTGCAGCACTGTAAACACCATTTTGAGTTTTTGCCCCAAAATCTCTCTTAAGCAGACTAGAGTAACCTCTGTCGTAATTTTCCCTGTCTCTAAAGGTATTGAATCCACCCCTTTTCCCTGCGGAGTATCTATCCCGACGATCATCCTTCATTCCTCCTCTACCCCTGGAACGACCTGTAAAAAGAAATTGCAAACTTTTATTAATACTTGAAAGCTCTATTAAAAACAGCATGTATTATGCAGTATCACAATCTGCTTTTGAAAAAATTAAAACCCCCAAAACAAGACAACTCCCATCAACATTTCTGAAACCTTACCTGAACCTCTGTCTTCAACCAACTGGAGCAACTTGGGATTAATTGCTTGATTGGCTTCACGAAGCACAGAGATAAGGTCACTCACTTGCTTTATGTTATTAGGTGTAAAGAAAGTGTATGCTGTGCCTGTTTTGGTACTGCGAGCAGTTCTTCCAATTCGATGAATATAATCCTCTGAGGAGTTAGGGTAGTCATAATTGATGACAAATTTCACATCTTCCACATCTGTAAGGTGTTGCAGTGTGGCAAAATAGTAATGTACGGAGTTTTGCACACCACAACAGCCAGACCAAAAATAAAAAGTTAGACAATTGTATTCCCAAGAAGGTACGGGCTGCAAAAAATAGTTAAAATGGTTATCCATTCCCTGTAGGAATACCATTGAGGGTGGGGGGGGAGTGGGAAGGAAAGAAAAAGAAAAGCACATGTCATGTCATCTTTGTTAAGTCTCATTACCCACCCAGTGACAAAGCCTGCCAAGAGGAACACGAATTCTTTAATGCATTCCCAAATCAGAAAGTCCCCTTACAAATCATCAAGTGACATCTGAGAGCTTCTGTGCAGTAGTAGGGCCACTTAAAAGTTTACAGCAACCTCTCCATGTACTGAAGACTTAACAAAAATGTACATGGTCCTTTTGTGTTCTACACTCATTAGTTCAAAACATTGGCCACACTGCTCGTCTTGCCAAGACCTTACAACTGCAGCTGCAAGAAAAACATACCTGTCCCCCAAAAGTTGTTTTTATGCACTGTGTCTCGTCTAGGCAAGCACTTCCAAGAAGCCAGGACTCACTTGAGAATGTCTCTCTCTCTGGCAGGTCTCGACATGACGACTATTGTGTAGGTCAAGGAGGAACTTTTCAAACCAGTGCTTTCTTTTCCCACTGTCTAAGTGTGGGAAATTGCTCCTGCCCTAGAGCTCATGTGCCAGTACTCACCAATTTGGAAAAGGCTTAGTACCTTTTAAAGCTGCTCTCTCCATTTCAAACTTGAACAAAAATGTCATTGAACACTGAAGTTTGGAAATTTCTTCGCCATTTCAGCAAACTCACTGAAACGCAAAGACCCACAGATCACAGGAAACAGTTTGAACAATGGTGTACCATGGCAGTCATGCAAAGCATGGGACAGAAGAGACACCACGGCAGTGAACTGTGAGGGTAACTTCCATTTTCCCCCGGAGAGAACAGTTTACAGGGCAGAGGTGGTATGCTCTGCCTTTTGAAGATTACTGGCACACTTTCAGCTTTCCACCTCTCTAATCGACTGGAAGCAGCCAGCCGGTCACTAGTCCTCCATCCCCCGAGTCCTCCGATTGTCATGCCTAGGCCTTGCCACAAAGACTGCACCTTTATGTGAAAAAAAAACTTGGAAAAAATGCAGAGGTTAAAGAAAGCAATTAACTTTCTTTAAAAAAATCGAATGGAGTTCTTCTCAGAAACCAAGCCATCAATGCTAGTTTGTACTAACCTAGCCCTCTTGAGGCCACATCTGTAGCAATCAGAATAGGAGCTTTTCCATGTTTGAATTCTGGGGGTGGGAAAAAAAAAATAATTAGAGCAAAATGTAGAAACAATCTTGATAATTATACAGCCAAGTTTGGGGGGTGGGGGGGAATCCACATTTAAAACATTTACCATTTAAAACCCAGTCTCGTTCCTGTTGACTCTTGTCACCATGGATACCCATGGCAGGCCACCTACGAAACAAATAATCCCCATTGTTAACACATCATTCAAACCTGAGAGCAAATCGTATAGTCTTCTATTTTCAGCCACAGATACTTTTAATTTCATCTGAAATAACGAATATATGGTTTCCCTATATACTAACAGGGTAATGCTAACTCCTTAAATTAAAATACAATGGTCTATGTTCATCTTTTCCTAACCTAACAAATCAGTCCTATTATAGAGAACACACATACCCATCTCTCCTCATTTTTCTGGTAAGCTCATCACATCGTCTTTTGGTTTCCACAAAAACAATAGTTTTATTCTCCTTCTCACTCATGATCTCTTCCATTAACCGTATAAGTCTGAAAAACGCAAACAAAATCATATTGAAACTGAATTCAAGGTTTCGTGCGTACAAGTCAAAGAGAAATCACCTGCTTAGCCACTTATTAAACAATCCTAACCACTATTAAATAAACCCACAGTACAGGCAAATCAGTCTTCCAACAGTAGCCTAGTAACAACTGAAATATGTGAAAGATTTTCAGAAGACAGGACAGAAAATAGCATCTTTTACCTCTATAAAAGATTACCTATGAAACCACGAAATCATTTATTTGACAAAATTATTTTCAATAGTCACTAAGTGATCTAGAACTTACTTTTCATCCTTCTCCACATCATGACACACATCCACAATCTGAAGAATGTTGTGGTTTGCACTCAGCTCCAGTGCACCGATATTTATGTGAATGTAATCCTTCAAAAAGTCTTCAGCAAGTTGTCGTACTTCTTTTGGCCAAGTTGCACTCCACATTAGGGTTTGCCTATCAGGCTGAAACAAATTTCAGGGAGAAAATTACCATGTGCTCTTTAAAAAAAAAATTTTATTAGAGGGGGGATCTAAATGGTCCTTACTCTTATTTGATCCACAATCTTCCGTATTTGGGGTTCAAAGCCCATATCAAGCATTCTATCTGCTTCATCAAGGACAAGGTAGGTAGTTCTTCTTAGATTGGTCTTTCCACATTCTAAAAAGTCAATCAGCCTTCCAGGTGTTGCAATACAGATCTCCACACCTTCAACAAAATACATTTAAGTATGGCATCTAGAATTGTAATTACCTTTAGTTACAAACAAAACTTTTACTACTTTACCTCTTTCCAAATCACGTATCTGAGGTCCCTTGGGAGCTCCACCATAAATGCAAGTAGACTTCAAACGACATGCTCTACAGTACTCTGCAGCCACTTGCTGCACTTGTTGGGCCAGTTCCCGAGTTGGCGCCAGCACCAAGCA